GCGAAGGGCAAGTGCCAACATTGGGAGATCATATGGAAGGGCAAGTGACAACATTGGGAGATCATAGCGAAGGGCAAGTGACAACATTGGGAGATCATAGCGAAGGGCAAGTGACAACATTGGGAGATCATAGCGAAGGGCAAGTGACAACATTGGGAGATCATAGCGAAGGGCAAGTGACAACATTGGGAGTTGACTTTCAAATCAGTCAGCATACTGTATTCTATTGCAGTGAGTTGTTTTCAGTCAATACTCAATATTCTCTTTGTTCCTATTTCTTCTTCTTCTTTATTTCTATATGCCTGGCAGTGTCGTATTCTGTTCAACATTTTCTATCCATGCATTTCGAAACAAAAAAATTGAGCACTCATTATTCCGACACAGAATGCAAAGAAGGACTATAGGTTTCCAAGAACGTTTCTTGTTAAGATTATCGGTTCCAGACTTGGAACTGATGATCGTCACAGAAAAATAAACTACTTGTCGCCGAGTTTGTAGTTTTCGCTTTGTAGAGAAGGAGAAGCTGTAGCTGATTTTTTGCTTGGCCACTGCTGTGCCGGTACTGTCGGTCGGCTTGGAAACTTATACCCACCTTGCCTTTTGTGTCGAGATAATGAGCGCGCAAATTATTTTGTTCGTAACTTAAAATTTTCTTTTAAATGTATTGCCTCCAGGCAGATCATTTGTATCCATGTATTATTCTCAAGGTTTGTATTATTTTTTTCCTGTTCTGAAGATCAAACACGCAATGCCTGTCATGGATCAGATTCAGTGGCATCGGCTGAAAGAGTAAGTTAATTGGTCTTCCCTTAGTGTTCCCCCATCACTCTTACTGAGATAGAGTGATGATGATTTCTGCACAGGACGTAGAAAACACGCCATTCAGTATGTGCACATCACTATGATGCCTACACCAATGTATAGTGAAACCTTTCTAAGACGACCGCTCAAGGGACCTTGAAAACGTGGTCTCTGTAACCAGGTGGTCTCCTTATCCAGTTTCATTTGACTGGAAATAGCATCCCTGGGTCCTGGTTGTAATGTAATGGTCTTCTTGGACAGGTGGTCGCCTTGACAGGTTTTACTCTACGTGTTTGTACATGCGTGTGTTCACGGTACTGCTGTATGTACAACACTATGCATACATCATGTGTGTATGTACAACACTATGCATACATCATGTGTGTATGTACAACACTATGCATACATCATGTGTGTATGTACAACACTATGCATACATCATGTGTGTATGTACAACACTATGCATACATCATGTGTGTATGTACAACACTATGCATACATCATGTGTGTATGTACAACACTATGCATACATCATGTGTGTATGTACAACACTATGCATACATCATGTGTGTATGTACAACACTATGCATACATCATGTGTGTATGTACTACACTATGCATACATCATGTGTGTATGTACATGAGTGTGCATACATCAGGTGTGTATGTACATGAGTGTGCATACATCATGTGTGTATGTACATGAGTGTGCATACATCAGGTGTGTATGTACATGAGTGTGCATACATCATGTGTGTATGTACATGAGTGTGCATACACAATAGCGAGAGTCTGGTCTCATTCTGGTCTGGTCTCATTCCAGTCTGGTCTTATTCTGGTCTGGTCTCATTTCGGTCTGGTCTTATTCCGGTCTGGTCTCATTCCGGTCTGGTCTCATCCCGGTCTGGTCTCATTCTGGTCTGGTCTCATTCCGGTCTTGTCTCATTCCGGTCTGGTCTTATTCCGGTCTGGTCTCATTCTGGTCTTGTCTTATTCTGGTCTGGTCTTATTCTGGTCTGGTCTCATTCCGGTCTGGTCTTATTCTGGTCTGGTCTCATTCCGGTCTGGTCTTATTCTGGTCTGGTCTTATTCTGGTCTGGTCTTATTCTGGTCTGGTCTTATTCTGGTCCGGTCTTATTCTGGTCTGGTCTCAGTTCGGTCTGGTATTATTCCGGTCTGGTCTTTTTCTGGTCTGGTCTTAGGTTGCGTTTGTTCGGTGTCATTCCGACACCATTCCAAAGTCATTCCGCTGTGCTTTGGTTGCAGTGCGTTGGTTTGATGCACCGGACAGCGTTTGTTCCGTGTAATTCCGATTCCGGTCACGGAATGAAGGGGGCAGAATCGATTCTGGCGATTCCAAAGAAAAAAGTGGAATGAGTGCTCATTCCGAGCGGATTGATAATGTGCGGCGGCCACTGGGGGCTGTCACTATTGCATATCTCCGCCAACAAAACCTCAAACGCGATTGTCGACAGACGGAATGTTGCCGAAATTCGTCCAGGGTGTAGGCTGGTACTGTAACCTCGGGATAGTTACCGCTACTGGTTTGTGGCATTTTTTACCCTTCGCTGCCTGAGACAGCGTTCGGTCAGGACAAGAACTGGATTGATGTCCTCGCACCTCTCCTCCTCATCGTCGAGCACGGCCTCCAGAATCACTCGGTCAGGGAGGCAGGCCCACCATTGCATAGCACATAATCACCCACACGGGCACTGAACCTGCCACTCGACTTCTTCTTACAACCGCACCTCCGTCAAACAAGCGCTTCCAATCCGTGAAGAGCTAGAGCCGTTTCTGTGACTGATACGAGGGTGAATACAGAATAGTCATGATGAAGTAGCGGCCAAACGTCGCGTACAGGCTTGTACCGCAGTGGAGCTCGTAGACCTGTGCCGAGTTTGGCCGCTCCTTCACCATGATCGTCGTAGGGGCATGCAGAGCTAGAAACGTACGGAAGCAAGATAGCAACCACAACATTCTTAGGCTACCAGCTTATCTTTGCAAGGCAGCAAAAAACAACTCGTAGATCTCAAAAACAAAACATTCGACCGCCGTTTCCGGAGTCTCGCAAAACGTTTGCCAGATTCCCGAGTGCATGCACGCGCGTTTGTTTGCTACTCTCATTCCGACTCCGCGATGGGTATCGACTGCATTCCATGCTCATTCCGGAATGACCGAACAAATACAACCTTATTCTTGTCTGGTCTCATTCTGGTTTTGGTCTTATTCCGATTTTGGTCTCACTCCGGTTTTGGTCCTATTCTGGTCTGGTCTCATTCTCACGCTAATCTTGTAGTTCATAGGGAATGTCAGTGAGGAACAGGACATAATGTCCTATTCCCATAACTCCTTTCGATATTTTGTCTGCCTATGTAGACAAACCCTTTGTCTGTGGTGTGGGTCTACCCCTGAGAATGCTGCAATGTTCAGATGTGCCTGTATATGCGGAAGCCGTATCTGCATTTCTCACACAATCTCTCTTATGGTATTCTGTCTGAACTCTCGTTCCCGTCGAGAATGGAATTGTTCCTGTTGCACACTCGGTAGAGCATGCTTGTCTTAATCTCATGGTCGTAGATCTGAGCACCATTTTGTCGTTGCTCTTGTACAACTGCATCTTTCGCTGCTCTCCGACTCACACTCCAAGCAGCAGTTGTTACTGTTAGGAGAGTTCAGAAAGAGAGCTAAGATAACGAAGGAATGAAATGTGCAAAGTGCCCTGGAGTGCATTGCTAGACATTGTTTGTGTGTGTGCTCTTGTGTGTGTGTGTGTGTGTGTGTGTGTGTGCACGCACGCGCGTATGTGTGTGTGCATGTGTATGTGTGTGTGTGTATGGGTGTGTTCGTGCATGTGTGTATGTGTGTGCGTCCTGTGATCGCGGGTTCCATATTTTCCTCTACTAAATTCATTCCCCTAGGTTGAGTACTTCTTCAAGATTCTCCAGTAACTACGGAAACAGACAAGACTTCAGTGACGGTTACAGCGCATCCTGAGTAATCGGCGTCACAATGCATTTTCATTGATGTGTCTTCTGTAACCGCTGAAATGGATATTCAGCCACCGGTGCAGCAATGTGTTGAGAGATGCAGAGGCGAGGTTTAACTTAATGAGCTGATTTCGATGTGATATTAATCCTAAAACATAATGCAATGCCATAGTAAATGACTGTCGTCGAATTCCTTCCTTTTTCGCTTTCATTATAAGAAGAGAATTTATCTCTCTGTTTGAACCACACAGATACTATGCATGCATGGTGTCTGCGGGGAGTGCGGTCTCTGTGATGTCATGATGTTACGGTGTCATGATGTCATAATGACTGTTATGATGTCATGATGTTACGGGGTCATGATGTCATGATAGATCATCTTTGTCTTATGTCAGTACAAAAATGGCAATCATGTGTAGGCTCTGTGCATTCGTTGTGAGTTATCTGATCCAGCTGCAGGGTGCGCATTTGTGTTTATTCATTACAGTGTTACACACTGCATGTATAGTATGTATGCTGCAGTTGATAGTTTTGTATTGATAGTACACATTATCATGTATAGCTTGTATGCTGCAGTTGATAGTTTTGTATTGATAGTACACATTATCATGTATGGCATGTATGCTGCAGTTGATAGTTTTGTATTGATAGTACACATTATCATGTATAGCATGTATGCTGCAGTTGATAGTTTTGTATTGATAGTACACATTATCATGTATAGCATGTATGCTGCAGTTGATAGTTTTGTATTGATAGTACACATTATCATGTATAGCATGTATGCTGCAGTTGATAGTTTTGTATTGATAGTACACTACAGAACAACAAGGACAATCAAGGCTTGTTTGCTGCTACTTTAAGTTTCATGCTTACGCAATCATCAGGCAACATGAAGATCGGGTGCCGACCATGCCGGTATATATGCCAGGAGAGGGTGGTATAAAAACTGTGTGAGACTGTTGATAGTACACATTATCATGACATCGTATAGTTCTCATGCTATCTGCAATGTAGCTAGTAGCAAGAGTAGATAAACAAGAGTGTGCAACTCGCGGATGGGTAGGCCCACGGCGGAATGTTTTGTTGACGTAATCTTTTCGACGACGCACGCCTTGCGAGTCTTTCGGAAAGTTTTCCCTCGTGCCCTTGGCCGGGCTTTACACTACAAGGTCGGTGCCCAGCACGTGCTCTCACACTGCTCTGCGGCAAACTGCGCGTTTCTCTGAAAAAAGGTGACGTCACAAAAAATTCCGCCGTGGGCGGGGGTATCTGCAGATTGTGCAGGAGAGATCCGGAGTTGCACACTCTTGTTTATCTACTCTTGCTAGTAGTAATAGGCTACATGACTGTAGCTAGTAGAATTTGAGTATTTCACTCCTGCTCTTGTAGCAGTTGAGCACTCTCGTGTGGGGTAGTGCATTTGCTGTTTGCATTATCCAGAGCTCACTGATTTGTCAGTTTGAGCACTCTGGCAAGGTACACCCGGGCCTCTGGCTTTGGAAAATTTATTTTCATTGCTGTCAGGTTCGGACTCATTTTCTCTGTGCTGCGCTGATGAGTCCACAACTTGAAGAACGAAACAGTTCTGTCCGCAGCTTGAGTAGTAGTAGAATTTATTATTTTACTAGGGAACTCCCAACAGGCGTTGCCTGTTTACTGGGAACCCTAGCAACGACTTGGTGCTTGTGACAAACGCAGAAATGGGCTTAGCTAGACTCCTATTGTGTACGTAGCTACCCGGATTTCACTTGTATCAAGTGAAGCTTGCTCTTAGCCAGTATTGGTACATAGCTATGATGGGCGTTGACCGGTTCTTTCTTACATGCACATGTATAATTATGTATATGAAAAAACTTACCATCTCCAAAGCAGCAGCAGCAGGGATCTGGAGTGGGTGAAATAATACCAAGCTACAAAGTAGAGAGTGACAGCAACCATGCCAGGGACAAAGAATTGGGCGTCATGAATATTTGCGCCAGGCCTCGTTACATGGCCCCTGCACCTCATACACACACATACACACGCGCGCACACAAACACACACTCACGCGCGGGCGCGCGCGCGCGCACACACACACACACTGTTCATTGCGCTCGAACGGTGGCGCTACTTCATTCATGAGGTCGATCTGATGCCCCTACCGCCGTACCGGGCCCTGAGCTAGCCCTGTCAGTACTGTACGTGCGCGTGCGTTACTTGTCAGTCAGGGCGGGATACGTGCAGGGGATTCAAGGGATTTCCCCGTGTCCGCACCCGCAAGGACCAGTACTGTACATTTACCTTCTACTGTGCTAGTGCTACATGTAGTAGTAGACTAGTACGGTGATCTGGTGATACATACCGGTAATCGTATTGTAATCGATTGTAATCGATTGTAATCGTAATCGTAATCGAGACATCAGTTCCGAAGAGAAAGTACAGGCCTAGCACCGTCTATCCCTGAACTTCAGTACGCAGATGATCTTGACTTCCTCGATGAAAATGACCAAAATCTTGAACAAACCCATGACGTATGCGTGCTGAAGATGCCAGAACACCAATTGATGGTCAACGGCGCGAAAACTGAACGGACCCACTTCTACCTCGATGCAGACCTGGAAAAAAGAGGGAAAGAAGAATGGCGGATGGCAAAGTCGGTTGGATCGAGAGCTGGTACTGCCGAGGACATCAAACACCGAATGGTTCTGGCATCGCAGTCATTTGGCCGGATGCAAAGCCTTCTACAGTCATCAGGGATCTCCCTAACGTTGAAGCTGAGGCTGTACAATTGCTACGTTCTAAGCATTTTGCTTTACAACTGCGCTACCTGGGGCCTCACTGAGGCACTCAGAACGTCTCTGGACGTTTGCCACCGCCGTCACCTCCGCTCGCTACTCCGTATAAAGTATCCAAATATAATCAAAAACACGGAACTCTACAACCGCTGTCGCACCCAACCCATCTCCAAGGAGATCGCGGCGAGGCGATGGAGCTTCCTGGGGCATGTGCTCCGGATGCCATCAGGGGCACCGCCACAGGTCGCTCTCGATTTTGCTGCTTCTGGTGCCTTGCGGGGAAGGATAGGCAGACCAAGAACAACACTGCTAACCACTCTCTCACTGGATTGTCGGGAGAAGCTGGGGCTTGTGCTTCTGTCGCGACCTGGCCTAGCCCAGCTTCGGAAGGTGGCGTATGATAAATGCCGATGGAATTCATTGCGAAACAGCACTGTTAATTAGCCTGGCCATAATAATACGATTACATCTGACATGCTTACCTGCCTACTTGTGCGCACGCATGCATTCTTGCCGGAGATGTCTACCTGTGGCGACAATAATTTTTTCATGGACTGATCTTCTTTTTTAGTGTTTGCACACTCTTGGCTGCTGCTGCTGTGGCGCTTTTGTATTTACATGCTGCTGCGCTCTGTACGGCTGCACTAGCCGTGTTAACTGTCGTACCCAGATGCACACATTCAATCCCTGGCTATGCTTTGGAATTGTTTTCGTTGCCTATGTCCTCATCTCTCTTCGTTTTGTTTTCGCTGCCTGGGCTCTCATTTATCTTTGCGTGCTTGCTTGCTTGTATTGCTGAGGGAACATATGCTGGTTTGTATTCGTGGGTCCCCATGGTGCATGGGCCACGCGTACTCATCCGGCGGATATGTGTGAATAATAATAATAATAATCGTATTGTATGTCTGCGCTACAATCGAAATACGAGAGTCGATAGAAACTTGCCGAGACTACAAGTTTCGATTCCTTATAGAGCATTTTCGATACAATTGTGTCCGTATCAGTGAAAGTCGATGCTTTCCTGGAAATGCGAACGGATTGAGTTTCATGTTCTCTTTTCTGCAGCAGAATATTTCAGTGGCTTTTCAGAACTTCATTCTAGTGGCGACAGTTTGCCTTTGCTGTAGTGTATGGCAAGAACCCAGAACACATGTTTATTGCAGATCTACTGCAGGGCTTGTTCCGCGGGTTTAGTGCAGATCTCCTGCAGGGCTTGTTCCTCGGGTTTATTGCAGATCTACTGCAGGGCTTGCTCCTCGGGTTTATTGCAGATCTACTGCAGGGCTTGTTCCTCGGGTTTATTGCAGATCTACTGCAGGGCTTGTTCCTCGGGTTTATTGCAGATCTACTGCAGGGCTTGTTCCTCGGGTTTATTGCAGATCTACTGCAGGGCTTGTTCCTCGGGTTTATTGCAGATCTACTGCAGGGCTTGCTCCTCGGGTTTATTGCAGATCTACTGCAGGGCTTGTTCCGCTGCCACTCCTGATATACAGTCAGTTCTGTGACTGTTGGAGAGCCAGAGAGACCAAGCTTCAAGAGAGGACATGAGATGATCATGATGATGGTACACAGAACACGGATTGTCAAGTGCACCGTGCAATGAAGTCACTCCACAACACGGTAAGAAACGAAGGGTGTACGTGTCAACGCTCACAGCCATGCGCTGGCTGCTCAGTAATCTGGCAATGCTAGAACGAGGAAACGTTGAAAGAAAATTCTGTTTGAAGATAGCGGTTGGACTATGTACAAGATTAGTACAACTGGACAGATAATTCGCCCAGGTAGACCTACCCAGGTACCCAGGAACCCAGGAACTGTGTACCAGTCAAACTTCGTATCTGAACACATTTTACAAGGAAACGTGAATGTTCCACTGTAATCACATAACTGCATGACTTGAATGCCCCTCGATACAGAAACAAACAGAGAGGGGGGGGGGAGGGGGGGGGGGGGAGGAGAGCTGGTCTCCGCAAAACGGAGCACTGAAATCCGTGTTGAAATAAAGTGATGAAACAATAGGGAAAGGAATAAACCGATCCCCTTATTATTGTCTGGGTTCGAGCAAGGGGGCAACTCCGCAGTCGCGTGGGATCCTGCTGCACACACGCGACCAACCTCACCTCGGCTGTGCGTGACTTCTCGCATGCGAAGTGCAGAGCACGCGAAATCTACATGCAGTGCAAGCCTGTCTACAAAAATGTCACAAGGACTTTTGATTTGAGCTGTTTTGTTTTAGTTTAGACGTCTTCCTTTTTTGCGACTTCAGGATGCCTTCTCAGAATCATTGCTCCGTTCCTCACTGTCAGAACAGGAGGACGAAGCAAACAAGTCATTTCACTCCTTTCCTCGTGTGGAGCCACAGCGGCCTGGAGCAAGCGGATCCAGGCTATGCCCCGTGAGGAAGGACGTAGTTTTAGGGTCACTCTGAATATTTGAGTTGCAGCGATCATTTCGATCCCGAAATCGAAATCGTTTTGCCCAGCTCTACAAGGGCAGGATGAGTCCAGGAACCCAAACAGCTGTCCTACGATACCAGGTTTGCTTTTTGCAAGAGAGTGGAGTCTGGACGCTCTGCTCCCCATGCTCGCAAAACAGTATTTGCTGAGCCTAGTGCAGTTCGGTCATGGAAGTGCAGCGTCTGCATCACGAGCTCCCCATGCTCCCAAACCAGTATTTTGCTGAGAGGCAACGGTACTTTGATATGGAAAGGAACCTGGCTTAGTGCAGTTTGGTCCTGTAATGGAAGTGCAGCATCTGCATCAGGAGCTGGCAGCAAGTAGAGCTCGTGTACAGAGTCTCGTGGAGCAGTTGGACGATGTGAGGACTGGGGTGAAGAAAGCCGAAAAACAGCTTACGTACAATAACATAAAGAAAGACTCTGAGCCGCTCCAGTTTCTGACTGGTTTGCTTTCAGGTGTTTAGACCGCTCTGTGGGACTTCTTTGAGCCTAGCCGAGAAAATGTACTGCGCCACGCCAGATCTGCGAAGACGGAAGCTGAGGGACGGCGGATACAGTTGGAGGCGGCCGTAAATCGCCAATGAGCATGTAATG